TAAAACAGGCAGATGAATCACAGGGAGTTGTATCTTGGATAGGATCATCAAAATTCCAGAAATGGCCAGGCTACAAAGTACAAGATGTGGTGAGTCTATATTTAGGTATCGACCATGTTTTGTTTGCGCATCTCCTTGGGCCTAGCTCTGGCATTGGTCAGAGAATAGCTCTCCAGCCCGCGGCTTTCACTCTAGATCAGCAATTTCCAACCTCTTTCATCTCAGGGCACACATAGACGAATTACTAAAATTCTGTGGCACACCAAAACATATATTTTTTGCTGATCTGACAAAAAATAGGTATAGTTTTGATTCATTCACACTAGGCGGCTATTGTTGTGTTGGCTGTTGTCATTTTTCTATTGGACAATCTTAGGGAAAAGAGGTCAGTGTCCTTTACTAAATAGTCAGGTATTGCATGTTTTAAAAATTCTTACAGCCGGCACACTGGTTGAAAATCACTGGGCTAAAGTCCATGTGTGTGTTTGCATATTTATGCATGTGTAAATAGGCATGTAAGTGTGTAAGTGTGTGTGTGCGTGTGTGTGTGTGTGTGTGTGTGTGCAATACTAACCAAGGTAATTGGAACACAGTCTTCTTGTTTCCTTCGTCTAGGGCGATGTATATTTAAAGGTTAAATATAGCTTTCTCATATGTAAAACAACCATGATTATTGGGAAAATAGAACAAAAGGAGCAACAATAATATCAAATAATGAGATGTCTTAAGATTTTCTATCACTACAATGGCAATCCTATTACAATATAGAAATAAACAAATCTATGTCAAACACCTTAAATTTACACAGTGTTATAGTGTAAATATATTTTAATAAAACAAATATATTCAACTAATTCCAAACCTCCCTACCAGATTAAAAATGTTTACGCATATGTATACATATTTTTGTTCCAAAATTCTGATTGCCAGATAAATAAATATTTTATTTCTAAATATTTAGTAATATCTTGGTTCTAAAAACTTGTACATCACATTCATTTTAGGTAATATTACATTACTTATTTTTATAATCTCCTAATTTCAATTTTCACTTAATTTAATTACATATTATAATTTATTCTATAATTAAAATGCATATAATATATGGATACACTGAGTGGCCAGATTACTATGACCACCTGATGTTTGAAGGCAAATTAGCCGTACACTGCATCGTATGGGATATGGAAGCCGAAGTACTGGTCCAACACCTCTTCTGTCTGCAGTTACCAAGATAAAACGTCTCCAATTCGCACAGGAACACAAGGATTGGACAGTCGAGCATTGGAAAAAAGCCATGTGGTCCGATGAATCACGTTTCCAGTTGCATCATGCAAATGGCAGAATGAGAATTTGGTGGAAACAGCATGAAAGCATGCACCCCATATGCATGAGTACAACCCTTCAAGCTGGTGGGGGCAGTGTTATGGTTTGGGGCATGTTTTCCTGGCATGATTTGGGCCCTTTAATTCATGTGGAACAATGTCTGAATAGCACACCATACCTAAGTATCGTTGCTGATCAAGTTCATCCTATCATGTTGATGGTGTATCTCAATGGAGATGGCTTCTTACAATAAGACAATGCACCATGCCACGGTGCTCGTATTGTGCAGGAGTGGTTTCAAGAACATGAGGGAGCCTTTACCTTGCTTAGGTGGCCCCCATAATCACCAGATCTCAATCCAATTGAGCATTTGTGGGACGAAGTTAAAAGAGCCATCAGGCAGCTGGTTCCACAACCATCAAATCTCACAGAACTGGACAGTGCTGTTCATCAGGCATGGTGTCAGATGCCTCGCATCACCTTTCAACATCTCGTGGAGTCAATGTCAAGAAGAATCGCCGCAGTATTGAAGGCAAAATGTGGCCCAACGAAGTACTGATGGGGTGGTCATAATAATCTGGCCACTCAGTGTATATATGTGTGTATATTTTTCATTTACATATACATATCCACATATATTCTTATTTTATTCATAAGTTATGAGAATTACGGGCCTAAACAGTATGCCTGATGTCTATTCTTCACTTCTGTGTTGGAGCATAACAAGGACGAAAGAGAACAAGCAACTTAGTTGAATCTCTTTTTAAATATGATGGTGATAATACTCTTAGCAATCTAATGGTATTAATCATTGAAAGTGTGGTTGTCTATAATATCTCTTCAGTTAGATGTACCTCATTGTCTAAGATAATGGTAAACAAACCTGGAGTCTACAGACTTGTGGAGCAAGCTTCCAGAAAAAATATTTTGTTTATTATGTATATGACTATAAGGGGGTAGTTAGGACCAAAGGTGGCTCTCTGCACTAGTTCTGTGGTAGCGTCCTTTGCTTGAAGACCCCACTTGTTAACCTTACTCAGAAGGCATCAAATGTGACTTAGGAACATTATGGATCTCTCTCCTCACTTCATCTATGTCTCATGATTATGTATATCTTTGAAATTATTAGTAAATTTGAGACTTATTGATACTGTACAGCTGGTTAGATTAAAAAATGAGTTTTATATTTAGCCAAGCTTTTATTAACAAATTATCAATGAGGCCAGAGCTTTCAGTGGTTTTCAGATAATGCTGTTGTAACATAACCCTATAATGCATTATTGAATATCCTTCACTTCCATTTTGGCATCACATCAAATGATATAATAGCATATGATTGTTTTGGCCAGAAAAATAGAGAGGAAAAAAGGGCAGATTCATGTTTTCCTGAAAAAAATGTTGATATGTCTTTGGATTTATTCTCAGTTAATTTCTCATAACTAATACAATATTTAAGGGCTGAAAATTATTTCTCATTAGGAAAAAATGGCAGTTCAATACAATTCTCCAATGTAATATACAACAACTTGTGTGATAATCAAAATCAAATAAAATAATCAAACTAAGTCATTTACATTCTTTTGCAAAGAATTAAAACTAATATGTAAATAAAACATACAGTAAACTTGAAAATCTCATTTCCCATAATGCCCCATGTTTATTTTAAGGAAAAAGTATTTCACTAACTGTTACAGGAATAAGCTAATATTAGGAGCTTTTACTGGTGTAGGTATGAATATTGGATGATCAAATCCTGAGGAAAGCTGTTAATTTATCTTTAATTGTTCAATCACATTGTTTTAGAAAAGTGAGGGCATTTTCAAGTGTGCCACAATAACAATGTCAGATATAGAAGAGTACAGAGAAATACAGCTGACTCTTGATCAATGCAAGGGTTAGAGGTGCTGATCCCCCCGCACACACTATAAACATATGTGATAACTCTTGACTCCCTCAAAACTTAACTGCTAATAGCTTACTATTGACCAGAAGTCTTACTGATAATGTAAACAGTTGATTGGCACATATTTTTTATGTTATACATATTATATTCTGTATTATATGAAGTATGCTAGAGACAAGAAAGTGTCATTAAGAAAGTAAGAAATTAAATACATTTATAGTACTGTATGTAATCATTGAAAAACACACTTCTAAGTGAATCTGCATAATTCCAACTCATGTTCAATGGTCAATTATTAAAACACTGTTTTCTTTCCTGTACATACACCTGCACACAAGTTATAGAGAAATGCACTAACCTGTTTTCGGATCTACGGAGAAGTAGGGCTGTCCCTGGAGAATGCTGTAAACCACCCGGGCACTGTTTCCATAGGTAGGGTCATCTGCATCGGTAGCTGTTACCTGCAGAACAGAGGTACCTGTGCATTCAGGAAAACAAATTTTAGTATGTTATGACATTCAGCATGTGACTAACTTATACACAGAAGGAGTTATATTGAGATATCTATAGAGAACCATAAAGGATTTGTCCCACTAAATTTAATTCTTAGATTTATCGGCCAAACCTATTCCTTACTTTCTTTGCCTGAGTCCAAAATAGAATATGGCATGACTCTCTATGCTAATAACACTCACATAATTAGGTTTGGGTTGGATTGATGTTTAAAAGTCAAATCAGTGTTAATTGTGGGGCAAAGTCAAAGTTGTGATGAGAGTGTATATTGCGTGCTACATGGCTGTTCAGAAAACCAGAGGTGGAATGGTTTGGGAAGGTGATTGAGTTGACAAATTATTATTAATACCATCAAAACAGCCCATTCAAATCATTTCCGTCATTCATGATCTTTTTATTTCATACATGGACAGTTAATGAGACTCCTAACGGGTTCCCATGGTTCAGTAAGCATTCTTTTATTCTCTTCTACACAGTACCAATATAATTATCTTAACACAATGGGTATCAGAATTTTCCTACCACACTAACTTTTTGGTGATTAAAATGCATTTTAAAGTAATTTATAAGCTTTAAAATATTATATCATATCATGGTACTAATTTTTTGGATCTATTATGCTAGTTTCTTTATGTTTACAACTTTTAAACTTTATTTGAATGGTTAGATAAACCAATCTAATATCCAGTTATTCCCAAATAAAACTGATCTAAGTGTAACATGACAACCACCTATTAAGGGCAATACAACTTTACTGCAGAATTAGTGGTTAAGAGCTCTCATTTATTTATAACATGTATTTGATGCGTCATCTACAAATGCATACTTGATATTTAATTTGCCACACTAGAAAATTCTACCTACTAACACAGGTTTTATATCAAACAAAAATATTTCCACAACCAAGTAAGCCACTATAAAATTTTGCATTCATTTTGGTACTCGACTATGGAAGTACTGACAACTGTCAGTCTTTAATTTTAGTAATTACTTCAAATATGTAGGTATGACACACCTATTATGAGTCTAGATTCCAACAGAAATTTAAACAAAGCTTGTCCTTTGCCTACAGGGATCCTAGAGAACTTAAAAGAATTAGTATGAGAAGTGCAACTGAAAATTTTTATTAGCATACCAAAAATGTATGACTTTTAGTAATATGCTATGATTCTGGGCTAAATAGTATTGTTACATTGATATTCTAAGCAGAAATATAATTAGTAATTAGGCATACCCAGAAAAGGAGGACTGACTGTGTTATTTCTAAAAGAAATCTCTAATTATGGGTAATAAAATACAATTGCAATACCAAATGCTGGTGAGAATGCTGAGAAACTAGGTCACCCTTATACTGCTGGAAATGTAAGTTTAGCAGATTCTTGTAAAACTGAACATACATTTACCACATAACCCAGCAAGTTGTACTCTTGGGCATTCATATTAAAGTAATAAAAATATATGTTCACATAAAAACCTGTTTACAAATATTCAGAGTTCCATCATTCATAGTAGCTCTCAGATTAACACAACCCAGAGAGCCTTCAATGGGGCAATGATTAAACAAACTATGGTGCATTCATACTATCAAAAACTACTTGGCAATAAAAATAAACAGACTATTGATCTTTGTGACAACTGAAATGAATCTTCAGAGAATTATACCTAGTGAAAAAAAGCCAGAGATGGGACCTTAGAAACCGAGGGGTTTAATTCCACAGAAATAAAACTTTCAAGAATACCTCACCCTCCCGTAGGGGCCTCTGGAAATTCTTATTCCAGCAGCACCAGGGAAGCCCACTTCCACAGGCAGCCATGGGGACACAAAGGACTTCCACTAATAATAATATCATTTTATAGTTTTGCAATATGTTACCATTGGGAAAAAACTGTGTAAAGGATATAGGCATAAGGAATCTCTTCATATCATTTCTCATGACTGAATGTGAATCTATGATCTCAAAATTAAAAGTAAAATAAAAGTCTTTTTGCCTCAGTGCTAGTCCATTCTTAGAAAGCCTTATTTGTGTGTACCATATATTTTTCAGATTCTAGCACTACATGTTCTGGCTTTATATACTTACCAGAGCTAATCATATGTAAACTATCTCTTCCACTACTAAGTATGATTATTACTATTATAGAATATTAATGACACACGATCCAATATTCATCTCTCCAACTTGTTTAGAGAATACCAGTAGGTAGATATTTACAGAGAAATGTTGATTTAGGAGACATTTTCATTGGTACCTCACTGAAACTAATTAAAATCTGTTGTAATTTCCCTGGTCAGGCTATTACAGTGGACAAAATGTTATAAAATATTACCAGTAAAATCTTTGACCTGATAGGAAAAAAATGCTAATAATACCTGGCATATAGGGATGACTAGGATTCAAAAAGGAGAAAACAGGATAGAATGTTGTAAAATAATGGCCATTAAGAAGCCACACTTATACAATCCCAAGCTTTTGAAACTTGCTCTGGTTTTGCAATCGTGATTTAAGTCTAAATCGTTTTTAACATCTTAAAATAGTACCCAAGCAACCATTCATGGAGAAAGCTGAGAAAAAGAAACAGTACAAGATCACACCTCATTGATGGTGATGGGCTGGATCGCCGCATGAAGGAGAAAGCGTGCTCTGCTTGGCTTAAGGTGTCTATAAAACCCAACCTTGTTAAGTGAAAGCTGAGAAGCATGAATGCAGTGACAAATGGATGAGAAAGAACAAGGTAGGAAAGAAAGAAAGGTGGAATGGAGGTATTGGCTGAGTGATGGTTAAAGTAGAAGAGTTAAGTAAACAGCAGGAAAGGGTTTTAGGGGAAGAAAAGCAAATATGATAGCCGCCTACTCGGGTCACAAACTACAGTCCTTAACACATCTCTGTGCTGCAGGCCTCACGGGTCCCGGGCGGTTCTATCTGTGTGTGAAACACGGAACAGCAGAGTGCCTCTCTCACTGTACTTTGGTGGCATCTGAAGGTATCAGGCTGCCGCTTTGAGTAACAGATAGCTGGCTGAAGGGAGCAGAGGTACAGGCATAGCACAGAGCAAGGCAAAGCCAGCTTGCCCCAGGAGACAGCCGCGGGAGAGATCAACAAGAGGGATGGGAAATAAATCTCTTGCTCAAGTGTTCGAGGATTTCTTACCAAAGAGAATTAGTAAGGAAGTTTCAGGCCAAATGAAAATTACCTCCACTCTAATTACTTTAGAGTTCAGATGGGAAAATTATAAGAACCACTGGTGCTTTGGGAAGTATTTAAATGAGAAAAAAAATGCTTTCTTTTTCACTTAAAGCATGTAAGTAATCAAAAAATAAGAACGCTTAAAATATGTGCTATGAGTTGGATTATTTCCCCCGGAATTTTATATGTTGGCGTTTTAAATTCCAGTACAATGACCTGCAATAAGGTCACTGTCGATGTAATTGGCTTAGAGAGGTCGTTCTGGAGTAGAGTGGGGCCCCTAATCTAACAGGACTGGTGTCCTTATAGAAATGGGAAATTTGAACACACACACACACACATACACACGCACACACACACGGGGAGGTATATATGAACATGGAGGCAGAGATTGGGGTGATACTTGCCCAAACCAAGGGAAGTCAAGCATGTCCAGCAAACCACTAGAAGCCGGAGGAGAGGCTTGGAACACCTCCTTCCCCAGTGGTTTAGGAGGGAGCACGGCCTGCTGTCCCCTGGACCTCAGACTTCTAGCTTCAGGAACAGCGACACGATAAACTTCTGCTGTTTGAGCCACCCACTTGGTAGTACTTTGGTACAGCAGCCCTAGCAAACTAACACCGTGTGTGACAATTGCAGTGGGAAGAATGACATTTATTCTCAGAATTTACGGCTGTTCCTTTAACAGATTCTGAACAAGAGTCTGTGGTTACAAGTCAAGAAAAAATGAAGCATAATTTCCTGTACTATTTGATACCAGAGACACCATAAATGAGATAAAATTAGAAGTTAATCTCACAAGAGAAAAATTAAAGTAAGCAAAAAATAATGGTATTTTATTTTTTTATTATTTTTATTTTATTTTATTTTTTATTTCAGAGAGGAAGGGAGAGAGAGAGATAGAAACATCAATGATGAAAGAGAATCATTGATTAGATGACTCCTAAACACCCCACACTAATTGATTGGATGACTCCTAAACACCCCACACTGGGGATTGAGTCCACAAACCAGGCATGTGCCCTTGGCCAGAATTAAACCCAGGACCGTTCAATCCACAGGCTGACTCTCTATCCACTGAGCCAAACCACCTAAGGCAATAGTATTTAATTTTTTAAAACATTAGACACTATTTGTAATATAGCCTGTTGGCACTATTAAATAAATTAGTAAGTCATGTTGGTCATTTTAATGAATTTTTATTTCTGGTTAAAAGTTTAAGTGAAAAAAAAATCATCAATATTTATATATCTATGTCTATGTAAAGTATCCTGTATTGGACCATTCAATTCATTTATTCATGCTTGGTGCCCTAATTGCATAGAGAGTAGAAAATAAATAATTATTATCCTCTCCTGTGCTAGATTTGCAAATGAAAATATACAAAGTGATAATTATAAGATCATTATTCCACCAGAATATTAAAATAATAATCTCATTTTTTATGAAAATTATTATATGTTTGGTCAAGAGATACTAAATCAACAGTCCCTTCCCTACATATTTAGTTTTCATTAAAAAACAAAACAAAACTTAAAAGTGCTACATGTTTTCTTAACTTTCACAACAGTTTCCATTAAACACAATATAGAAGCATTGTATTTCAAAGTTTCATTAGTTACTTAGTGTGTAATCTTCTTTTGGTAAATATTTTCTATGGTGCACTCTTAACTGTTCCCATGCTCCGGATCAGTGTCCCTCAGCTGATGTCTTATACAAATCTGAAAATGATTTAAGTACATAAAAAAGCTTTCAAGATAGCTTTTCTACAATAAAACTG